TGGTGCAAATTACTGACCTCTGTCATCATTTTAAGTGGGGGAACTTGCACAATCGGTGGCTGACTAAATACTTTTTTGCCCCACTGTATGTTCTACAATCAATTCTCATATTGAAATATTGCTATTTTATTAATTTGGGGTACATTTTTAGTTTGTTATTAACAGCAACACAGTGGAAAGTAACAATAATATTGTGATACTCCAAATGATAGGCAGGAACTACTTCTTTCGCCTGTCACAGTGCTATGTAATATACAGCTCTATAAATGGAGATCTGGGAGGAAAAAGGATGACCAATGATTTTTTGAGCCATTTTAATGACCCTTTGTAGTGTGCCACGGTGCAGCTGGAGAACAACATAGAGATGGGATATGTCAGCACACTTTCAATGCAGCAACAGAAGACAGTCAGCAGCTCCCTCTTCAGGTCCATTTTTCTGAGGAGTCTCAGAAAATGGAGACGCTGTTGGACCTTCTTTACAACATTGAAGGTGTTTGAGCTCCATTGGAGGTCTGTGTCTATGTGCACTCCCAGGAACTTAAAGCTGGACACCCTTTCCATGCACGCTGTGTTGATGCGGATGGGCTGCAGCTTGGAATTCCTCCTTCTGAAGTCAACTATCAGCTCTTCCATCTTAGTGGCATTAAGGTCCAAGTTGTTGTCTGACACCAATCTGACAGTTTCTGAACCTCAGCTCTGCATGCCATCTTGTTGCCCCCAGAGATGAGCCCCACCATGGTGGTATCATCCGAAAACTTAGTGACTGCATTGTCTGGGTACTGACATAGTCATGTGTGTACAGAGTGTACAGTAGGGGACTTGTGGAGAAGGCTGAGGAAAGACGAGGACCCACTATAACTCTCTGTACGCAGCAGCAGGTGGCAAAAGGAGTCTGAAATTCCGCAGTCTGTCCGGAGGTATTGTATTAAAAGCAGAGCTAAAGTCAACGAAGAGCAGCCTGGCGTAACGTCCCTGTTGTTCCAGGTGGGAGATGGTGGTGTGGAGTGTTATAACAATGGTGTCTTCAGAATCAGAATACTTTATTGATCCCTGGGGGAAATTATTTTTTTGTTACAGTGCTCCATTATAAACCAACATAAAC